GCTAATGGATAATAGATATGTGTATAGTTATAGTTAATGATCCTATGTGACTGTAGGGTTAAGACTTTGATTAATGGTAGCTAATGATAGTTATTCATTGATGGTAATTAATATGTTTGATTATAGGTTGATCCTACATTAGGGCTTTTGTGCTTATTAGAAGTTCTAGTGGCTATTTAAGTGCACTCTTGGTTTGGTAAACTAATGATTAAGGTAACCAGGGTTTAAATTCTTGTATACGTTTGTTGTTTGCATTTATGAGTTTGTATTATTATTGTATGATGCTATGTGGTATTAATAAGAGCATGTTTTTAATATGAATGGGTGAATTTTATGTGTGGATTAATGTATAATATGAAAGAGGTCAAGTGACTAAATTGTGTATTATCAAGCATGGGTTTGTGTACATAACTATGTTGAGCATGAGTATGATTGAATATGTTGTTGAGCATGAATATGACTAAATATGTCATCGAGCATAGGTTGAATTGCATAATCATGGAAGGGTCGGAGGTCATCCGAATGAGTAAAGGGAGTATGAAATCCATATAGTATAGCCTCTACCATGATTTATGCATGATGGCTGGCAAAATTGATTAAAAGTGCTTAGTATTATCATTGTCTTTTAAGAGATGTCATGGACTGTGCACAATACTTAGTATCACTAATTTTCTATAAGGGATGGTATGGGTCAGACAATTATGACACTCCTGAGTTTTTTAGAAAAAGGGAGAATCCATAGTCCAACGATGAGTATGGAAACCTTTAGTTAAGTAACCCCTCATAATTAGAGAGTGGGGCAAACTCGGTTACACAAAATAGTCTTATATGTAGTAGCCTATGATCATGCATAGTACTTATCATTCACATGCATTCTTGAATAATTGATAATTATTATCTGTGAAACTTCTACTTTACATGCTTTAAAGTGCCACTCTTGCATTTACTTGAATTTATATCCCTTGGTTATTTAGATTTTATATCTTACTCCTCGTTGCTTGGTTTTTCTAATATATGCTCAAGTTAAGAAAAAGGGGAAGGCATCAAAAGCTAAAGATACTTAATTCTCAATGTAAAGTCTCTAGTGATTTTTATGTGTAAACTTGAATGCTCATATTGTCAACTTATGGGTCTTTTATGTAGAACTATTTATTCATTTGCATAGTGGCCTAATTGTTAACTTAGGTTTTTTTTTTGTGTGTCTTGGCTCATATGGGGTTTAAAAGTTAAAATGATCCTTTAGAGGCTCAAAGCATTGATAGAAATGTGTGATTATAATGATTTGCATGATTTTAAAATATTAAAGCTAGTTATGGCATGTTTGAAAGTTTTTATATTGGACCTAATATTATTTATGCTATTGGGTGATAATTTCTCAATTGTCAGTCATGATGATTTGAATGCTTGTAACTTGTTGAGAATGTCTATTTGTGATCGTGGAGTATGGTTATGTGTCTTTATGGGTCTAATGGCTAAAGGATGGGGTTTGGACATCTAGTTGAAGATTTATGAAAGCTACATGAGTAGCTTTGGCCTTGGGATGTCTAAAATTCCTATATGATATGAAATTGCCATGAAACTAAAATCATTAGCTAGTTTGTTTAATTGTCTAAATGTGAATGCTTGGATCACCTTAATTGGAGGTTCAATCTAAGAGTTGTGTACATTGAAAGTTAGATACAGGAAGTTGTCATGAAAGCTTTGCTCTCACAACAGGTGGGCCACTATAGATGGCATTATTAGCCACAACAGATGACACAGAGAGTGTCATCCACAATAGATGGTGTTATAGGTTGTAGTGGATATTTTTTGCACGACAAGCTATATTAAACATGTTGTTAGGCACAACAAATGGTCTAGTTTTTACTAAAATGACTCTCTAGATCTCATTTTTGCTTGTTTTCAATCCTAAATAGTTTCCATACTTCCAAAATATTTTCTATTATGATTTGCATTATCGGCCTATATGTTTGGTTTCAAATGCTAATTTGTTTTGGGATCTCATTCCTGCAAGATTTTCTGACTTAGAATTTTAAGTTTTCAAATAGTCAAGGTTAATCCTATTTTACCATGGTGAATTCTAAAAGTTAATTTATTGGTTTTTAATTACCATGGTTCTCCTCTTGAAGGTTAAGTATGCTTTGTTTGTGTAGTGAAGTTTGTAAATTTTACAGTTCGCACTCTTGTAATCTTGTTCTTACTCTTATAGTTGACCCAGGTGATTATTTTTCAATTTTCATCTTCAACCTTATCCTTGTCTAACTGAAATATGAATATGTAATTCTTTGATTATTTTTTATATTTTTCTAAGCTATGTCAAGTAATTGTCATACTACGTTTTAGAAATTTAAATTATTATTCAAATTTAGTAAAGTAACTTAATTCTTAATAAATATTTATTATGATCAACATTAAATTAATGTAATTAATGACATTTTGGATCATGAATTTTTGAAAATATCAAATATGTTAATATAGGGCCAATATTTGTTTAAACTTGAATAGGCTAGAGCAAATTGAAGGAAATGTATATTGAATGAATGAAATTTCCTTTAAGCCAATTAATTGAAGTCCAGCAATTCAGCATAAGTACTAGCAAAAAAAGCAAAGCTATTTAGCGAGCCAGCTTGCGAGCCAGCTTGCAACATCTTGAAAATTTAACCTCAATTAACTAAGCTAAATTAAGGTAATTTAGTACATTAATGTGGTGTATGGCTAGAGGAGTTTAACAAATATTTTTCATTATGATTTTAGCTCTGGATTTGAGTCTAAAGGGAAGTCAGGTCACCTGAACCTTAAAAAAAGGAGAAAATTAGAGGATTATGAGAATGTGCTATGTGCCATGGAGTGTGACACATCCGCTACGACGTATGAGTAACAGATCACGAAGGATGGACCTCTTTGTGCCATATGCCATGATGCGTGTTGTGTGTGTCTTGGCGCATGGTCAAAAATTTATAGAAATAAGTTTGTATTAAAGTTGAAAAGGGAAAAAGAAACAAATAGAAACAAAGGCCTTAGGATTTCCTCTACTAGGGTTGCAAATGTGAATCATTAGGAGAATTTCTAAGCTATTAACCACCAAAGGTAAGGTTTCTAAGCTCCTTCCCTCTCTTCCTCTTCCATTTTTCTTGAAGTTGAGAGTTAGAGTTTGCTAGAGAAGTGAATTTTTGAACTCATAAGACTATAGGTCCGAATCCATTGATTTAAATAGAGTTAATGGAGTTGTTTAGGTTATTTAAACCTAACACTTAAGGCTTGATGAGTTTTGATAGTTGTAGGGTAATAAATACCCATAAAAAAGTATTTATGGAGGATGAAGATATAAGGCTTGCTAAAAGTTCATCCTTGTTACTATTAAATCACAGTTATAGAAGCTATCATTCTATGCAATATGCTGCGGCGCATAAGGAACAAGTTGCAGTGCACCTCTTGTCATTCATGCTGTTCTGCCATATATTTCAACTAATATGCAAATACTTTGTTACAAAACTATATAACATGCTTTCGTAAACTTATTTTTCTCTCATTTATGAATCATAAAGATATGTTCAAGTGTTTTCATGATTTAAAAACTTGGGATCCCATTCACAAAACTTTTATAAACCTAGTAATTGGTTTAGTTTAGCCCCTTGATTATCTTGATTTTAGAATTAATTGTAAATTAGTAAAGATAAGCTAATTTTTTGACCCATAAGACCTTGGTGGGTAGGCCTATGACCCGTATTTCTAGCTTTATAGAGGTTATTATCTGGCTTGTAAAATTCTCAAGCTACCCTTAATTTATAATTGAGTTTTTTTGCCTTAAGTGCATGGTAAATCATTTAAAGTCTTACAAGTTTTAATTGTGCATGATCAAGGATTTGTACAGGAAAGGACTATTTCATTACATTCAAAAGGCATAATTTATTTAGGATTACATGTTTTGGAATTACTTGTATGATATGATTAGACTTTTGAGCCTCACAAACATGATTGTCATTTAAGAATCTTTGCATTTCATTTTCATTTTCAAATTAGTGCTAACTAATCAATGACTTTTTTAACTTAATTTTATGTTTTGCCTTTTAGTCACTTCTTTCTCTTAATTCCTTTTCCTTAGGTCCTTAAAACCATTTGCTGTTCATGTTTGCCATTTTTTATATTTTTAGAGAATTCAAATTTTTAGTCTCCTAAGTTGATCATGGACTTGGTAGAGCTATGCTTGACCACCCAAATAATGTTACATGCATAGAAACACATCCATGTGCATGTGGCACGCACACACGCGTCTTATTTTACAAAATCCAGCATTGAATGACAAATTTATGAGATTCCTCACCATCTTTTGCTATTCGGTCTGAAACATCTAAATTTTTTTGTGATAGTAACTTTAGGGGCTGTGATTCTTGAAGTCCTATTTACCTTTCTACTTTTGAAAGTTGTTCTTACTTGTCATGGGAATTTCTAACCTTTTTACTCATCTTAATTTGTGCATTTACTAACTTTTAGTCTCGAGGAAATGCCAGATATTACAAATTGCTTGCATCAATTAAGCAAAATCCAAAATATTGATTTGTCATGATAAATGCAAGCTGACGCGGATACTACCAATATTTTGAAAGAAATTATGTTAGATTCTTACTATTCATGCTATATTTCATAGGATTATTATGCATTTATGAAATGAAAATAAATGAAAAGATTAGTAAATGCACAATCTGATTTTATAAAATTTAATAGTAAATTTCCTCAAATAAATCCCGTAAAAGTGCAACGTTTCAGAACGAGAGCAATGTACTCAAATGCGTTGATGAAATGTAATGGCATGAGTCATTCTATGCCTTCTAGTTTTGTTCTTTTCGCTTAAGGAAAGCTTGTCACCTAGTACTTTAAGAGGCCCACCAGGCTCTTCTTATAGCATATAGAAGTTCTCAACAACCCCAAGTTAGAGAGAGAAAGACAGAAGAGAGAGAGAAAGTTTTTGACGTTTTGGGTTTTCTTTCTTCCAACAAGCAACAATGGAGAAGAAAAACAAGAATAGTGGTGGCAAGATCTGTGTCATCTGCTATAAGTTTTTTACTAGTGGAAAAGCCTTGGGAGGGCACATGAGGACTCACCTTGCAAAACTTCCGATCCCTCCCAAGCCTGCTCCAATAACTCCGACTACAGATCTTATGCCTTCAAAAATATCCAAAGTTGATGTCGATGGGGGTTCGTCCTTAATCCATCAACACTCAATCTCTTCCTCACCAAAAAGTCTTCTGAAGATGAATTCACTAACTAAACAAAACTTTTACTCTATGAATCAAGACTTTGCAATAAAATTTTCAAACCCTGGCGATGATCAGAGAAGCAAATCAGATCAATCTTACCAGACTGGAAAAAGATCCAAACGTTGCCGCAAAATTCATGATGCAACAAGAGCAGTAATGTTGCCGCCTAAGACAAAAGCTAATCGAAATCAAACAGGTTTGATGTTTAATTCTTACGTTCAAGTTGTAGATGCTGCTTTAACTCTCATGATACTTTCCAAGGATAAATGGCCTACAAGAAAAGAATTGATCGAGAAAAAACAAGCGAAGGGTGAGAATGAACAAGAAGACTCATATGCAAAGGTTCATTCTCATGGTGAAAGGTTCGAGTGTGAGACATGCAACAAAGTTTTTAGATCTTACCAGGCTCTTGGTGGGCACAAAGCAAGCCACAAAAAGGTCTTCAAGAATGATCAATTAGAGGTAGATGGTGAATTTGATGAAGAAATTGGGGATGATGGTAACTGGGGGAATAATAATGATGCTCTTAAAGATCCCAAAATGCTTAAGTGCCTTACTGCTTCAAAGTGTTTGAGTCTAGCCAAGGACTTGGAAGACACAAGAAGATACACTCTCCTAAAGCTATGAAGTTTGGGTTCAAGGAGATAGATCTTAACTCACCTGCTCCAATGGAGGATATTGAAGAGTAGCCTAATTGCAATTTCAACTCTCCTAGTAAAGGTTATTGAATAATGATGTGCTTTAATTTTCCATAATAATTAAGGAGGTTTAATTTCTAGATTTTCAAGCAATTTTAGTTTATGTTAAGTTTATATACCTTTGTTACAAGTTCTTAATTATGAACTTAGATAATTTTCCCTGCTTCATGTATCATCTAATTGTCAAAGAACTTTACTTTGACAACTCCTTAATTTTATGGAATCAATTGATAGTTTGGTGATATTCATGTTTGTCTTCTTAGTTACATCATTTTGATTTTTTTTATTTTATCATTTGGTATCTTGAAAAATTTGGGAATATTATCACCTTTTGTTCAAACTAATTCGAACCCTTGTGGTGTGAAATCTTTACTTTCAATGGCAATCTAATAGGTATCTCAAGAATGCATTTAATATATTTATTTAACGTGACTATATATATTTCAAAACTCGAACTCAAAATACCAAAATATCCAAACTACAATTTTAAATTGTAGTTATGTTTATGCTAATTATTGATGATTGCAAAAGTTTTATCAATGGATAAAATATTCAGGTCAAATTTTACGATATACAATATCTAAGTCAAATCTGTTAGAACTTAATAAATATAACTATTAAAAAATGACTTATCTATATAAAATATAAAATTTATAAAAAAGATAAATAATTGATATGATGCCTTATAAAAAAAATCAAACAGAGTATATGTTATGCGATGCTTAACTTTTAATTTATGACATGTCTTTTTTTTTAAAAAAAATCACATCAAATTCCTTAATCATAAATCATAATCCAAGTCCAGTGGTCCTTTAAGCTTTAACGAAACTACTTCATGTAAATCGAGTGTTCTAAATTTGTTGTTTTTGAACTTTGAATTTTAGATACTAAAATTCAAAGTTCTAGCCAGTTTCACATCAATGATTGCACAAATACTATCTTTCAATTTTTTTTTTTAAATTTCCAATCAAGACTACGAAAAACCAAATTAAAACTAACCAAGCATATCTCCTCTGAATACTATCTTTCAATTGACAACTGTGTCATTTTATAAAACACTTTTTTTTTATTAAATTTTCAAATTAAATGAATTAAATACATTTAAAATTTTAATTTATCCAAAATGCAATGTAAAATTCTCAAAAAACCTTTTATTTAATAAGAGAGAGTGAGAAAAATATTTAAATGTATAAAGAGTAAAATAATAAGGAATAATTTTGAAATGAGTTTATTAATAGATCATTTTCCTTTAACTAGTATAAAAAGTTAAAAATTTTTATATTGATTATTTTTACACTGATGAGAGAACCAATATAAAAAATTATTTTTAATTGATGTTAAAACATATTTTATAATAGAAATATAAAATTACACTAAAAAAATAAATGAGGTGGCTGAAGTATTTATTTGCAATGATTTTTCATTTCAGGATATGAACTTCTGATTTTTTTTTTGGCTTCCGTATGAATATCTTAAATTAATGGTAATAGTTGCGAAATTAATTAATACCATCATCTTCTAGAAGAAATGTTTGACCTTTGACTTTTCGCACAAAATATGGGTTCAAATTTCTATAAAATGCTTTGAATTGGCATAAATTATCTCTGCACAATAAATCTACTCCAGATTTTAAGCCCTATTTAATTCAAGAGAAGAGGGAGAAAGGAGAGGGGATGGAGGGGAAGCGAGGTAAGGGAGAAGAGAAAGGCATCTCCCTAAAGTGTGTTTGGTTGGGGGGAAGGGAGGGAAAGGGAGGGGCTCCCCTCCCCTTAAATCAAACACACCCTAAATTGGGAAGAGGTTTTGGAGGGGAGAGAAAATTTAAAAAATCTTTCCTCCCCTCCACCTTACCAACCCCTCTCCTCCCTTATCCCATCTAAATAAAAGGAAGGGAAGGGGCTTGTTTGGTAAAGTGAAGGGGATAAGAGATTTTTTAAAATTCTTTTTCCCCTTTTCTCCCTTCTCCTCTAACTAAATACTACCTTCATAACTTAAATAAATAATCCTATAATGATATAGTTTTTTTTTTGTTTGAAAAACTCCACAATATCTCTATTTTTTTCAACAATTAACTTCATTGCCTAAATAAGAGCTGAACAAAAGGTCCTTAATTGCAATGACATTTAGACCATTTAAATTTAAAATATATATTTTAATTTTAAAATTTATAATATTTAAAAAATAAAGTCATTTTATATTTTGTATATATTAAAGTAAGAAAATTTACTAATTAGATAGCCTAATTAAGTTTGTACTAATCAAAATTTAAATATTTTTTTATTTTTTAGAGGAACTTTTTGGATAGCTAGCGGAAATGTAGAAAATCAAGTTGGGTTTGAAATTAAAAAAATTATATATTTTTATTATTTATATATATATTTTATTAAAAATAATTATATTCTAGAAGATATGTTTCACACACTAATATAAATATGGTTTTATAAACGACAATCATGAATTGCCTCTTCAGCTATGCCATTTTGTGTCCGTTTAGTTAAGAAAAAATGATCTATTTTTCAGTAAAAAAATCGATTAATCAAAAAAATAGCCAAATATTATCATTTTTGGTTAATCCATTGTTGGAGAAAAATCAATTTTCGAGAGCTGTAGCATAGCTGATCAGTAGCATTGGGGACATAATGAGTCAAGAATAAAGACATGGAAAGAAAAATAAAAAAAAAAAAATTTAAAACACAAAAAAAAAAAAAAAATAACATAAATTCTTAATTCCTTTTTTGCTTTTTTGTTTGTTTGTAACTATCACTTCACTTAACACTTACTATAAAACAATTTAAATAAAATATTAATTGACAAACCAAATTTAATTAATTTATTAAAATTTAGGTTCATTACAAATTGTTGCAAAGATTGAAAGAAAGAGAGATTTTGAGTCATTTGTTTTATATACTATATTATTTATGTTGCAAAATTATAAGAAGAATTTTAAGACGATAACATTCAATTACACATATGTAATACTATAAAGATCAATATCAAAGATATTATCATCTTTCATTATTATTGTACAATTGATGTTTGGTATTTAAAAATTAAATGTTTCTCTTTTATAAATTTATTTGAACTAAAATATATTGAGTTATTTATTTATGTAAATTAAATTATTAATATTAAGAGAATTTAAATTTTTATAATTAATCAGATATGTAATTTAAATAATATATTTCACTTCTTAAATGAAATTTAACAAATTTAATAATATTAGATACAAATTTATTAATAATTTAATTTTTAAAAAAATGTCCTTTATGATAATTTATAAAGTTAAAATTGATTCTGAATAAATTATCCAAACATCATCAATTATATTAAAATTAATTTTAAAAAAAATAATATCTAAACGGATTATATTATAATATAATTAATTATAATTAAAATTAATTATTTAATTAAATTATTTTTATGATTAATTATATTCAATTAAAATTCAATCGGACACTTCAGCACTTCTTTTATCCTATTATAGGTATTGATTGAAATTTGGAAAAACCAGATTTGGTTTGAAACAAAAATCTGGTTTTGGCTTTACAAAGTGAAGAGGTTATAAAAAAAAAAAAAAAAAGAGTGTGGGACCCAAATACTTTGTCTGATTTTCTGATACACGAGGTAGTACACTTGTATTACCAGTAGATTAAAAAAAAATAATTTTTTAAAATCTCAGGAAAAGTTGACTCTCTCTGTTTTTTTTTTTTTAATTTTGTCATTCTCAATAATCAACACTTACAAAGTTACAATTTCACATGTATAATTACTCAGATACATATTGACCAGTATAACAATAAAAATGAAAAGATGTTTTTTAAAACTGTGAAATATCATACATTTGGACCAATGATAGCGGGTAGAAAATGTTCCTTTATGGACATGCGGGAGTAGATAAATTGGAATTCAACATATATAGAAATAATGAATGGATGGATTGAAATCTAATAATTGCATCAAATGCATTCATTTTTTGATTTTATAGAGAATCCAGAATTAAATTTCTAGATTAAGCTAATCCGGTCTAGTCCTCCCTCAGGTAGTTTATGCATCCTTCTTTTAGCATTAATTAGACACATTTTTCAATACATGTACATAGAATCTGAAAAATAAGACATTATTCTTTTCAATTAATATAGAGTTGCAATTTGTTATAACTATATATTACATACAAATATTTCATTTATTTAATATTATAAGATAATTTACTCGAATGACACTTTTAATGAGTTAGTTAATTATTTTTAAAATTACACACTTTTTTTATATTTATCCTTATTTAATAGAATATTTTAATTAAAAAATATTATTAATTATACCCCTAATTAAGTGTATTTTTGAAAAAAATATTATTAATTACAACTTGAAAACTCCAAAATGCCTTATAATATGAACATGACACTTTAAAAAAATATTTATATAGTATTGAAGGGGGGAGTATATATTATATTGATATATTGACCAATGATAATTATAAATAATATATAATTTCAACTTAAATCTAGATAGTATATAATTCAAATTAATTATCAATTATATATAATTTGATTTAAAATGAAGAAAATAGGGAATCACCTTAAAGAGACACAATGAGCTTTATCTACACTCTAAGTTTTTTTTTTTGTCATTTTTTTGTTTATTTTATGAATTTAAAATACTTGAAGATAATAATTTTGATTGGTCAACATTATAAAAATTAATCAAACTAAACCATTGGCATTCACATAACTAAACAAAAATAACAACTAAAACATTTATTGTAATCATGAATGCAAGATTGCTTTATAAGATTAAGCACGTCTATCAATAATTTGTTCGTCAATGTGCATTTTTACATTTAAACCTTTTTAAGGAGTGTTGGACATCTTGTATTGATAAGTGAGACAATTTTCTCTTCAATTATTTCTTTGAGTAACAAAAAACCCCTTT